CGCGAGCAGCTCCAATACAAATCTCAAGCCTTTGCTTCCAGGGTAGAGGGGGCTTTTGAGTCTTGTACAGATGCTCACGCAGGGTTCCATAAGCCATGTAATCATAAACAAGGATCATTTCACAGTTCTCTTCACAGTAGCCAATCAGAGAAACAAGATGACGATGGCGAAGTTTCGAAAGCATTTCAATCTCAGTTTGGAATTCATGCACACCTTGGTCAGAGAGTGCGCTTCCACGCTTGATTGCTACTTGGGTTGTTCCACCATCAATTTCACCCTTGTAAACCTTTCCAAAACCTCCAACCCCGAGGAGTAGAGCCTCATCAAAGTTGTTGGTGGCAGATTTGATCTCAGCAAACGAGAAATGTCGACAAAGGTTTGAAGGAAGGGAGGAAGTGTAACTTCCTGTTGTGTTTGTCTTTGCAGAACCTGCTGAGTGTGAATTTCCATATAAAGAAAGAGGAAGCCAGCCAGATGGACCATCACTTGAACTTGCGTCCTTCCCTTGTCTGCGGTGGTGTGACACACAAATAGCCAAGAAACCAAGGACGAGGGCTAAGGCAATTCCACCACCAACTCCCCCAGCAATAATTGCTGTTTGACCACTCTTTCGCTTGCCATGACCTAATGATGGTCTAGCTTTGGTTGGATCAATGGTATCCTGCTTAGGAAGAGGAAGAGGATTAGGCCCTCCAAGGTTACCGGTTGTATCATTAATCTTGAATATCTCAATTCCATTGAGAATCGAATCATAGTAATTTGGCAAATCAGAAGTGTCTGGATGCAGTTGAAGCCAAAGATCCACCTGTGGAGTCCCATTCGGAACAAACACCACATAATCCTTGTACACTGGAATTCCATTGCCTTGGGCCCAGGCAACAACATCAGCTCCAGCCATAGCAGTTTGATTGTTGAGAAAGATATCAAACACTCGTTGATTAACCTTGGTTATATTTTGGGCAACCTCACAGAAATGTAGCCTAACCAGGTACGAGAATCCAGAGTCGATTGAGAAAATCCAAGTCAAATTGTAATTGAGGTTGATTCTTTGATTTGGCCCCATTGATCTGGCAGTGGAATAGACATCCTCTGGTGCAATATATGTAGGCATGCCTGGAGGGTAACTAATCGTCATGTTTGGATCAGCAGTTTCAGGAACCCCATATGCTGCCCCTAAGAGATACTGAGTGTCATCGTACCAGGACCTAAACAGACCCGTATCATCTGGCGGCGAGATATCATTCCCACCCACATTTATCCGATAAACATTCTCAAGAGCAGTGCTATTATCAATGTAGAAAGGAGTCGATTGACCGACAATCATGGTAGTACCATCAGTGGCACTGTAAATATCAGGCATTGACACAATCTCAATCCCATTCACAAATGCAAATGCATTCGCAACCCTGGAAGAGGGTGTAAACGAAACGGCCAACGTCTCACCCTCGACATTGACAATAAACTCCTTAGTAATAAAAACATAATCCAGAGCCTCAGTTGTCTGAGCAACACTGAAGTTCTTCAGAATAGTATAGGACTGAGCAGTGACAGTAAAAACAGCATTGGAGGCATTAAGCCCGGCATAGGAAGCAGGGTAAAAGTAAAGACGGATGAATTTTCGACCGGATGCAACTGGGAATTTGTAGGTGAATTGGGAGCGGAAGACCCTCGCAGTCATGAAGGGAACTTCAGGGACTGCAGGATCCTGAGTGGCGGCGGGGGAAGTGGTGGAGGAATTTCCACCGGATGCGAACTTAGATCCCACATCCGATGTCCATTTCACGCCATTGGAATCCGTCGTTTCGGCAGGACCGCCGCAATTTAGGAAGATTTTATCAGATGGGACATAATTAGCAGCAAAAACAAGATGGATTGAAAGAAATACAAAGATGAACACAGCTATAAACCCAGCAGTGTTCATAATCATACCCTCTTCGGATTTGAATATACCCAGCACAAAAAAGTGTACCCAGCAGAAGAAAACTACTGAAACAGATCAAGATCTATGCTTTTCCGATAACCGAGATCGGGAAATCCACTGAAAATTCAGAAATCGAGCTGAAATTTATCAAAGTGACGGAATTGGACTGAACATCTTAAGCTTTTCAGCAAACAAAACAGCTGGAAGAAGGTGAGAGTTTTGGTTTACCTTGCCGGAGAAAAAACGCCGGAGAAAGCCTCGGGTTTCGGGAGAGCTCCGTGGATCGGCGATTTGGGAAAGGAGCAGAAACCTAACTCACAGAAGCTGGTAATAATGGCTCACTTGCTATTTACTACTAGCTGTTTGACTTGCAGGGTGCCGAGCTTTGGTTTGCAATGGCCCATTAGGTTGCTGGGTATTTACAAAGCGATGCCATCCCCAGCTCAGAGTCAGTGGCGGTAGAAAGTGCTTTTGATTGGTTACTGGAGGACAGATCAGTAAGGGAGTGGTTACAGGAGGGATACGCGTTTTAAGTGGGGCCCTTTAGGCTTATAGCTTTGGGATTTGGATTCATTATTCATCCATAGCTTAGTGGGTGGCTTCTGTATCAGGACCGTTGGTTGGGATTACTACAAATGATCAGGAGTAGTGCTATCCAGACACACTTTGTTTTTCACACACGTCTTTCAATTCGGTCATCAGATCAAAAAAATTGAAAACGATCAATGAAAAAAAAAATTAACAAAAGTATGTAGGAAATAAAAATGGATATATGAAATTCATGAATAGAAATTTCCCTAATTAATATGTGATTGCAAAATTTTAAGTATAAAAAGAGGGATGTGTTATCCACACACCCGTTGTTAATTTCTATCATTTAATCTTCTTCAATTCATCTAATCAAACGGCCGAAAATTAAAAAGTGTATTAAAAATAAAAATGAGTGGATAAATCATGTGCTTCTCTCTTGGTTTGAACGAAACTACTTTATGTGGGAACACACTCACATAGGTTGATACCAAATGCAATGAATTATTCCAGTCTCTTCGTGTGTTGCATTCAAGTCTTGTTTTCGCGTTCTCTGCCCAATGTAGAAAAACACTTATAGATTGTGGTGATATTTTTAGATAATTATGCAATGAAATGCGTTTTAAAATTTTCACACGACTGTGTAATTAATTTGAGATACGATCATAATAACATTAAAATTACAACTAATTTTTTTTTTTTGGTGACAATCTCTCCCCTCATGTGTCGCGCTATAGTCTTATCTCTCTAAAATTTTGGATGAGACCCAAATGCTAAAGATGTCACTCACTTGTGAGTGCACTGCGAACCACGTATGCCTTCAACGAAGACCTTCCCCACTCTCATGAGACGCATGCATGGCAAGCACTAACAAGTGAAAGGACAAGGAAATTTTCAAAAACACATACACACACATAAACGATAAATAATAACAAAAATGCTACTTCTATTATATTTTTCATACATTTGTACTGCATTTATAATAGAGATGAGACCTTTATATATTGGTAGACATCACTTTTATTATAAAAATGAAACAAATGTGATATAAAAAATATGATAAGAGTAGAAGTGATGTTGGGATTGACAAAAAAAAATATAAAATTTATCGAACAAACGACCAATGATTCAATGAACGATATAATGAAAGTGTTTGTACCAAAGAAAACAAATTAATCGAGACCAAAAAGGGATGGCCACGAAGGGATCAGCAGTGGTAAAGCACGTTTTCCGTCACAAACACAACATCATATTGTGATGAACACCGGCATGGTGACCCAAACTCTCCCAACTAAAAATGCTTGACCATTGAAAAAAAAACTCCCTCCTTCTATCTGTAGTCTGTATCATTCGAAATGATTATAGTACGTCGCGTCGGCGACGGACATAATACGGACTGGAGATGAGAGTAGACCAACGTTTGGACACACACATGCATTGAAAAGCGGATTTAAAAGGAAGTCGACAAAGAATTTCAACCAACACAAGCTGGGGAAGGTCATTGATATTCATGAATCAACGCAAGCTGGTTTTGGTGATCTTTTTGATCTTTTAACGTCGGACTGACCATGATCAAGACCGACCTACTTTTGTAATTGTAGGAGAGAGAATTAAGACAATATACAATTAGACCAAAAAAACAAAGTTACAAACGTAGATTCGACCCGTGGTCTGGAATGGCGGATCTACCATGGGCCAAGGTGGTCAGTTGAACAGTGGCGGCCGGAAAAGTTATTGATAGTGTCTCCGATGACCCTTTGGTTGTTTGGGTAATAACCACTTCGTGGGCATAAAAGTGTTAAAATACACAAGTAGGACTATCTGCATTTTTCTTTGGGTTAGAAAATGGGGCACAAAACCCATGCAACCACAACACGAAAAGAAAAACTTAACCCTAGAGCTAGACCAAACAGCGGTCTTGTGGCCAAGACACTCCAACAGCACTCCGCAATCCTTGTGGTACTGAATATTAATACGTGCAGTCACAGAGTTTCTAAAGGAAAAAAGAAAAGGGAAAAGAAAAGCTAATTACCTTCACGATGCACTGCAACCGACACAAATACATGCATTCCTTCATGAGCTGGTAAGAAAATAACCAGGTTTTGCAGAAAAAAAGGTAAATCAGCCATCTTTCCTTTTTTCTTTCTCTCTGAACTTTGTTTTTTATGCATATATAGAACCAATCTAGTTCTAGCTTTCTAGGGTTTCTCTAGATGATCAGATGCACTCTACTCCATCAGATGTAATGATGATCAAGACATCTGAGCTGAAACTGAAAGCAACACACTATCTAACTTCACATAAAAACATCGGATTATCGGTTTAACATTATCTTCTAAAAGGTCTGTTTTTCGCTCATCAGACGCATTAATCTTGTCATCTCAAATTTTCAGTTTTTATAACTATGTTAATTTTGTTACTGCTCATCCCACCTTGTCGTAGGACCCAACTGAAAGTGCTTTCGGGATTGATACTGCCTAGCTGCAACTTTACTCCTACACTTGAAACAGTATACATTGTGGAGTCAAGAAGCAGTTTGTTTTGCCTTCCCTTCAAAGTTTGAAATGTGATCATGTGTAGACATCATCTGATCCATATGTATAAATACGTTGCCTGAAAGAACATGCATTGTCTTGCAAGTTCAAATCCATGTCATGGGTGGCCCCAAAAGAAAAATGACGACACAGAACATTGTTTTGGTGACCATTTTTATCATTTTCATCAGCCATTGTAGCTCTACTTTCTTTGATGCCAGTGGATTTGAGCAATTGGAAACAGTGGTGGAGAACGTCGAAGATCATTTAGCATATCCAAGCACAAATGATTGGTCCCCGTAAGATTGAGTATCTTTTTTATTTTTTACTTTCAGTTTTATTTTATGTGCATAATGCTTAAGTATACATGTTCCTAATTGTGTAGGGTTGAAGAGCTAAATGATGGAACGGAAGATGATGCGTGGCAGTTGGTGCAGAAGAAAGGGAACCAATTTGTGGTGAATGATCAACCTTTCTATGTGAATGGATTCAACACTTACTGGTTGATGGTGTTTTCTGCTGATCAATCCACAAGGGGAAAAGTCACTGATTTGTTCAAACAGGCATCTTTGGTAGGACTAACTGTTTGCAGGACTTGGGCTTTCAACGATGGCCAGTGGCGAGCTCTTCAGAAATCGCCATCAGTTTATGATGAAGAAGTTTTCAAGGCAAAGTCCCTAACCACTTGTTTGTTCAATGCTTCGAGTTACTCTCCGAATTCTAAGTGAATTTTGTACGATGAGTTGCAGGCTTTGGATTTTGTGCTAAGTGAGGCAAGGAAATACAAGATCAGACTCATATTATCTTTAACCAACAACTGGGATGCGTATGGTGGAAAAGCACAATACGTTAAATGGGGAAAAGCAGCTGGTCTGAATTTGACTTCTGATGATGACTTCTTCACTCATCCAACACTCAAAAGCTACTACAAGGCCCATGTTAAGGCAAGTCGAAAAGCATTATTTACAAGCCTTGATCATCTTACAATCGTCGGTATTGTGCTTAATTTACCTGTTAATTAAGTTTGTTGTGATTATATATTTTGGATATTTCCTTGATGCGTATTCGTTGTTATACTTTGTTGTTGTAGACGGTGCTTAATAGAGTTAATACACTCACAAACAGAACTTACAAGGACGATCCCACAGTTTTCGCTTGGGAACTAATGAACGAGCCTCGATGCACCTCAGATCCTTCGGGCAATAAACTGCAGGTTTATGCTCTTCAACAAATATGACCGTGTATCTTTGTTTTATCGGAATATATCATTTTCTTGTAGTTGAAGGAATGTTTTGTCTTCTAGGATTGGATACAAGAAATGGCAGTTTATGTTAAGAGCGTTGATCCAAAACACTTGGTAGAGATTGGACTGGAAGGATTTTACGGTCCCTCAGCACCTGCTCGAGTTCAGTTCAATCCAAATACATATGCTCAACAAGTTGGAACTGATTTCATAAGGAACCACCAGGCTTTGGGTGTCGATTTTGCTTCTGTTCACATTTATGCAGACTCTTGGTAACTTTCGAAACTAAATTGTCTAAGTTCCTAACAATAATTCGAGTATTCAATTTCTGATTGAAGTTTTATAAATTCATCGACGAAGGATATCACAATCAATCTCTGACGTGCATCTCCAATTTACCAAGTCATGGATGGAAGCCCACATTGAGGATGCAGAAAAGTATCTTGGAATGCCGGTGATGTTTTCAGAGTTTGGCATATCTTCGAACGACCCCGGCTACAATTCATCATTTAGAGACACCCTTCTCAGCACAGTGTACAAGACCATCCTGAATTCTACTAGGAAAGGAGGGAGTGGAGGTGGGAGTCTTTTGTGGCAGCTCTTCCCAGATGGAACCGACTACATGGACGACGGTTATGCGATTGTTCTGTCAAAATCTCCTTCAACAGCAAACATCATAACCCTTCACTCCACAAGACTTGCCCTATTCAACTCTCGATGTTCTTGGAAATGCCGGTGGGGCTGTAAGAAGAAGCATCCAATAGAGGGATTCTTACTACGTTATGATGAACTGTAAATGCTATATGCTTTGAATTGTCATTTCTTCGTTGACATGTATTCTGTGATCTTTTGTGTACGAAAACAACGAAGATTGACTCGCTGAATTAAATAAATGAAAATTATGTTATCGATATGATTTGTTCGTCAAATCTTAACACCTTGTTCATGGATGAAGAAAATCAACATTTCTATGCAATCTACATGACTGACCGGAAATTGGCACCTTTTCGATGCAATCTACCAATTGAAAACTAACGAAGTAAACTAAATTAGTAGCTAACTAACTTGACAACTTATAATTTGCTGCCGTCCATTAACCATATGATGTATTAAATGTAGTTGTTTACTTAAATGCCATGAGTTCTTCACCCATCCAACGCTCAAAAGCTACTACAAGGCCCATGTTAAGGCTAGTCAAAAGCATTATTTACACGCCTTGATATATCTTGCAAAAGAACGGAGAATTGGATGGAGACCTCAATCATAGAGTACAAGCTCGATGGATGGAGTGGAAGACTGCATTGGGTGTGTTGTGCGACCGTCGTACACCACCAAAGCTCAAGGTAAAATTTTATAAGACGACAATAAGGCCAACAATGCTTTTTGGCACGGAATGTTGGACGGTGAAGCATCAACACTTACACAAAATGAGTGTAGCGGAGATGAGAATGTTTTATTGGATATGTGGGTTACGAGAAAGGACAAGATTAGGGACGAGGATTTCCGAGGTAAATTAGGAGTAGCCGAAATTAAAGATAAGATAAGAGAAAATCGGTTAAGGTGGTTTGGACATGTGAAACGAACACCTACAGACGCTCTAGTTAGAAAATGTGATTATCAGACAGAGGCTGATGGCCAAATGGATAGAGGAAGACCTAGAAAGACTTGGAAATAGACTCTAAGAAAAAACTTGGATTATTTGGATCTAACGGACGACATGACACAAAACCGAATGCAGTGGCATTCTAGAATTTATATAGCCGATCCCACTTAGTGGGATAAGGCTTTGTTGTTGTTGTTGTTTACTTATGCCATCAGTCATATCAATCAATCGTGCCGGACTAGGTTTGTTCACCTGGTACCGACATCCGATGTTCTTCTCTTGTCGGTATTCTCTGCGGCCAAATCTCTTATCAGATAACGAGTATATTCTTGAGTTTTCTTGACCTGGTGGATCATGGCAAGGTCTCTGAAAGGGAAGCTTTACGAAATAGCTCTCATCGCAGGTTGTGCAATAACGTTTCACTTTTCACAAGCCTGCCTTTGGTACCGCTTGCAGGTATGGCTAATGTTTTTCAGCTTCCACCTTAAAATTGGGATTCAAGGTGACGTCTTCCCGGCAACTGGTGTGCTTATACCACAGGAACCACAATGGCTGCTCGGATCTTCTCCATCAGCAATGCGCTACTGGTGCAAGGGACTAGCCGTTCTGGGGTCACTTGCTGCACTTATGATTCCTTGGAAGATGTTCATGTGTTTGTCTAGCTGCATTCGTTTATGTTTTCGTTGTGTCAAGAAGTTAGTATAACATGTTTTAAGCTCTTCATGATCACATGGAAAGGACTTACAAGCTGTAATTTTTGAGTTGATCATGAACAATTTATTGTTATTTATTTGTTCATGGACTAAATGAGCTCTTTCATAGGGAGAGTAGTAATAAATTTCAAGTGGATTAACAAAGTGGGGTTTGGGGGATATGTGTGTAAACCTCCTCTGCTATAGTATCATCGGTGACGGAAAACATTTATAGAACTCTAATTTGCATTCGATGGCATGGTAAACTGGAAGCGAAGAGCTTAGCTCACTCGTTGCAAAAATGACAGCATTCATATACTGAGCAGGCAACCCCTTGCATATCTGTGACCCTCTCCATTCTTGAGTTGTTGTAGCAAAAGGAGAGGGAAAGAAAATCAGATATTGCCACGTCTCGAGAAGTAATAAACTAACTACAATTACTGAGGCAAATTCATGTACTTAGATCTTGGAAGTAGTTCACTATTTGGTCAAACTTAGTTTTGAAAGAACTGCAGCTGCCTGGTCACCAGCTAACAAGAAATAAGGATGCCTCAGAGCAGCGGCCGCTGATAAACGCCTCATTCGAAGAGAACCTCTCTCGGAAACAAGTTTTGTGGCCAGATCCCAGCCTCTACCCGAATCGAGATCAAGAAGTGACAGGTCAGGTCTCAACCGAGTGTAGTCCTTCCATTTATTCAAGTCATATTTAACCGTTTTTATCTCTGAATTGAAATTCTTTAAGCCTGCTGAAGACCTTAAGGATGGTATTGTTAAGGAATCTCCTACATCAAAGGAGATCAGTTCATCAACAACACAATCTGCTCCATCAACTGCACAAGTGGAATACAACCTGGACAGCAAGCACTGCAACATTCCCTGACAGCAGATTACCATATGGTACAGCTCATGTGCTCTGATGTGTTGCAGCATGGACAGCAAGCACGCCACCTTTACAACATTAGTTTATTGTGTGTGTGTGTGTAAGATGTATATAAAACAACTTAGCTTATCAGAATGCAAACCAACAAAACATATCAATTCTATATGGTATCACGAGCCCAAAAACTCCAACGAGCAATTTATTTTTTTTTCTGATCCCTCTCTTTCCTGTCTTCATCCATGGCCACTGACGCCACTACAACCAACCTTCTACCAGACCTCAACTCCACTACTCCCACCTTGATCACCATAAATGCTACAGCCCAATTACCTGTGAAACTCACACCCACCAATTACCCATCCTGGCGTGCTCAGTTCAACGCCCTTTTTTATGGTTACGACCTCATGGGTTATGTGGATGGTTCTCATCTCTGCCCATCAACCACTCAAACCGTGCTTCGCACCTTTTGGATTCGGCAAGATCAACTCTTCCTTCATGCGATTCTTGCTTCCGTCTCCCCGCAGGTCATCTCCCTTATTGCCTCTGCCAAGACATCCAAGGAGGCTTGGGACAAGCTTCTTCATCTCTTTGCTAGCAAAGCCCGTGCCCGCGTTCTTGGTCTCAAAGAACGCCTTACTCTCCTGCGTCGTGAGAACAAGCCTGTCTCTGAGTATCTACAAGAAGTCCGCATTATTGCAGACGAGCTTGCCATCATTGATGTCCCCCTCTCTGATGATGATCTCCTCCTCTACATTCTTAATGGTGTTGGCTCGGACTTCAAGGAAATTGCTGCGGTAGTTCGTTCCCGCGACACCTCAATCTCTTTTGAAAACCTGCATGACAAACTGGTTGAACATGAAGCTGCTCTCAAGCGTGATGATACCATTGTTGTACCCCCAGTGATCACTGCCAATGTCACTTAGACATCTCGCTTCCACACCTCAAATCGTGGCTTCCGCTCTCACCACTCCAACTCCAACCGTGGGTCCTTTCTCTCTCGCAATCCTTCTCGTAGTTCCTTTGAGCACCCCCACACATCTTCCATTGCTACCAATTCTCGTGGTTCCTACAAGCCCATCCAACAATCCTTCACCGACAATGGTCGCCGCTCTACCAACATGAACAACACAGGTTATCGTGGTTTCTGTCAATGGTGTGGCACTCAAGGTCATAGTGCCAAACGCTGCCCTCAACTCCAATCTGGACCTTCCAGTCCGCTCGTGGCCAATCCTACCACCCATGGCCGGTCCACCTCTTCTCCAACATGGTTGCTTGATTCTGGTGCCTCTCACCATGTTACCTCCAATGTTAACACTCTCTCTGGTACAGCCATATATGATGGTCCTGATGAAATAATTATTGGTAATGGTTCAGGTTTGGGTATCACACATGTCGGTTCAACCACTTTACCCTCCTCATCCTCCCAATCTTTCAGCTTATCAAACGTTCTATGTGTTCCTTCTATGAAAAAAAGACATTATTTCTATCTCTAAATTTAATAAACAAAATAATACCTCTATTGAACTTTTTCCTGATTTCTTCCATGTCAAAGATCTGAGCACGGGGGCGGTTCTTCTTCGAGGCCCGAATAAGGATGATGTGTACGAGTGGTCTCGTAAATCATTTCATCAACCACAAGCCATGGTGGGTGTGGTGGTCTCTCCCAACCTCTGGCATCGTCCTCTTGGTCACCCCAGCCATCAAACTCTCCAACAAGTCCTTCGTATGTCTTCCATTAATGTGTCTTCCAAGTTGTTCAAGTCTGTTTGTCATTCATGTCTATGTAATAAAAGCCATCGTCTCCCGTTTGGTACTTCGTCTCTCACCAGTCATGGTGCATTAGACCTCATTTATAGTGATGTTTGGGGCCCTGCTCCATACTCTTCAATTGATGGTTTTTCTTACTATGTTATCTTTGTTGATCATTTTACAAAATATATATGGCTCTACCCTCTCAAAAAGAAATCTGATGTGTTTTCCACTTTTGTCACCTTCAAAGCACTTGTTGAAAATTACTTCAAAAGAAAAATCACTAGGTTATACACTGATGGTGGGGGCGAATTTATCAAACTCCAACATTTTCTCTCATCCAATGGCATCACCCATCTCCTTACACCACCTCACACTCCTCAACACAATGGAGTCGCCGAACGACGACATCGTCATATTGTTGAAACTGGTCTCACACTTCTTCATCAAGCTTCTTTACCTCTCACCTATTGGTCTTATGCCTTTAAAACAGCTACCTATCTTATCAACCGTATGCCCACTCCGATTCTTAATAATCTCTCCCCATTCACTCAACTCTTTGATGAACAACCTAACTACTCCCGTCTTCGTACATTTGGGTGCTTGTGTTTTCCTTGGTTACGTCCTTACAATTCCAATAAATTACTCCCTCGTTCCCGCCCATGTCTCTTCCTTGGTTACTCATCCAATCAAAGTGCGTTTCATTGTCTTGATCTTTCCTCCCACAAACTTTTTATCTCTCGGCATGTTCAATTCGATGAGTCCACTTTTCCTCTTGCTAACCTTCCTTCCTCCACTCCCCATGTCACGGTTGATAACTCTCACACTTGGGTCTCTTCTCTTTCTCCAGTTACTCATGTTCCTGTCCACTTACCCACTAGGCCTGTTGAGTCGGTTGTTTCTTCTTCACTGCCATCACACGTCACAACATCATCATCATTAGAATCTGTCCCTGTCTCAGAACCGTCACCCAATCGCCAAGCATTGGT